GCGCAGCGGCCAGCTAGTTTGGCGCGACCGACGCGGCCGCGGTGGCGCTGACCGCTGGGCATTTCCCAGCGGGCACTTCGATGCTAATCGGCGACTTGGGTGGGCGCGGTATCATGGCAACGTCGACAACAGTATATTCGATGACCATCGTGGCGGTGCCTGTGGCGATGGTGACAACGACGACGGCAAGGCCAGTGACGGCGCCGATGCCGACGACGATGGAGGCGCCGTCGCGTCGGCGAGGAAGATTTTGGAGGGAGTTCCACATGCGCGCGCGGCCGACGCGCGAGAGTGGCCCGCAGTGATTATTTGACACGGATCGTGCCCCGACCCCCCCCCCCCCCGAGCACGCGCGCAAGGACGCTTGAATGATTTTGACACGCGGCGCGAAAAGCCCTCTTGCTCCCCGATCAGAGCTTGTCTTTGTAGGGGTCTTAGCGGATTCGTATGGTTCGGTGAGGTGCGGCGCCGATTTCGGCGGCACGCCCAGGTGCCCAGGTGCCTGTGTACCCGGTAGCCCTTGTGCGCGGGTGCCCGGGTGCCGCTCAGCCCTATAGTTTTGCAGCCCTATAGTCCTATAGCCTTGTAGCCTTGTAACTCTATAGCCCTATAGCCGTATGGCTCTATAGCCCTATAACCCTAAAGCCGCCGTAGCCATATAGCCCTGTAGCCCTATAGCTCTATGGCCCTATAACCTTCCAGCCATATGGCCCTATACCCCTGTAGCCCTATAGCCCTCTGGCCTCATAGCCCATAGCCCTATAGCCTCATAGGCTTTTAGCCCATAGCCCTGTATGCCTATAGCCCCATCGCCCTGTATCATTGACGTTGCAGAACCATCTTTTGTTGTTTCATATGTGTTCGGGACACTCGACTTTAACTTTGCTGCGGGACCCAAGGTTTATGCATAAATTCGGCACGCTCGCGCGACGATGCACGACTGCGCAGTTCGTCATATTTGTTGCAAAGGGCTTTTGACATCTGATGAGTTTGGATAAACGAGTGCGCACGCGTAGTATCCTGCGGAGGATGAAAAGGAGGGGGGCGTTTCTTTTTCAGTTGAGATGGTACGATTTCATGTTCAGGATGGATGATGGGATAGAATCACATGTACATTGCAATACGAAAACGTGGCCTGTTAAGTCGGGGGGGGTCCTGGTGTTTTTGCTAAGTTGGGCCTGTCCTCCTGCAGGGGGGAATATTCAAAAATAATGCAAAAATAGTCTGGGGACTACTTGTTTGGTGTATTTTCGGGCATCATTTTAATTTTTGTTTTTCGTCCAAAATCCCCCTGTAGGGGGACAGGCCCGACTTAATACTTTTGGAGAAAATGAGAATCTAGGTGGAGCACTTATGTGTGGTGCAACCCGTCTGGCCCAACGCCGTGTCGATCGATGCAAAGCCATGCGAACCGATATACAGCAACGCAATGCGATGCGAAAACGTACAAAGCAATGCAGAGCAGCGCAGGGATATGCAACGCGATGCGAAACATTGCCCAGCAATGCGCAGCAATTCAACGCGAAGCAGTGCAGTGCGATGCAAAGCGTTGCAAAGCAGTGCGCGTCAGCGCAAACCAATGCAAACGAATGCAAGGCAATGTGAAGCAATGTAATGCGATGCGAAGAAATGCAATTCAATGCAAAACAATGCAAAGCAATGACAAATATTGCGAAGCAAGGTTATGCGATGCGAAGGAATGACGAGCAATGCAGAGAACTGTAAAGCTTTGGATGCGAACGAGGGGGGGGCGCAGCGGGGCGGCGGCGACCGACGGGAACGCGGCCGCCGGGCCACCAAAGACGGACACTTTATTTCCCTACCTAGGCTCTGCCTAGAAGGGTTCTTACTCGGTATGCTTAAAGGGCCGGGCAGTGCAACTCGCCCCGGGCGGTTCCCCCAGTATCCGCCCCGCGGTTCCCCCAGTTACGTCCCCTTGGCTTAGCGTTGCTTATCTCATCTTAGCTTAGCTTATTTCATCTTACCTTAGCTTAGCTTCATCTTAGCTCAGGTTTATCTTGGCTTAGCTTACCTTTTTCTTAGCTTCGCTGAGCTTTAGCATAGCAGGGCACAGCATAGCATAGCATAGCATAGCGTAGCATAACATAGCGCAGCACAGCATATCATAGCATCGCCCAACATAGCATAGCATAACGCAGCACATCATAGCATAGCATAGCATAGCGCAGCACAGTACAGCACAGCATAGCACAGCGCAGCATAGCATAGCATAGCATAGCAGAGCATAGCATAGCATAACAGCAAAGCAAAGGCAAAGCAACAGCAGCGACAGCAAAACAAAGCACAAGCAGCGCAAAGCAAAGCAAAGCAACATCAACAGCAAAACAAAGGACATGCAAAGCAACATCATGGGTGTAATTCCCTACCTAGGCTCTGCCTAGAGGGTTAGCTTAGCTTAGCTTAGCTTGGCATAGCGCAGCGCTGCATTAGCATAGCAAATCATAACATAACATAGCCAAGCATAGCATCGCACAGCATAGCATAGCGCAACATAGCATAACATAGCATAGCATAGCATAGCATAGCATGGCATAGCGCAGCACGGCATAGCATAGCATAGCATAGCAGACCATAGCTTAGTATAGCACAGCGCAGCATGACATTGCATAGCTTAACATAGCATATCATAGCATATCATAACATAACATAACATAGCGCAGCACAGCATAGCATAGCATAGCATAGCGCAGCATAGCATGGCATAGCATAGCATAGCAACTAATGTTACTTTCCTAGGGGCTCCGTCTTCTAGGTAGGGTCGCACTGGGGTAATTTGAGAAAAAGTGGACGGCGACTGACTGGGACGGGGCCGCCGGGTCAACAGACGGCTCAGTTCCTTAGGAGGGAAGTTAGAACAGCTAAGTGCAAGCACTTTTGGGGGAAACGCGCGGGCTCTGAAGTCTTGCTTCGGCATGGCGGTAGGGTCTCATATGGCGACGTATTCTATGGAATCGAGAATGCAGAAACCCAAACTCCTAAACCTAAGCCTCCCCTCAGGCGCCGAGTCCTCGCACTCGTGGGGGAGCACGAAGCCACCTAAGCCTTGACCTCTTCGGACCCTCCTTTCCTGCCCCCCCCTCCTCATCGGCCTCGTCGTCCTCGTGCCTCTGCAGGCCCCCCGGCGCCCTGAAACTGCATACATTTGTTCGGAAGCTCCTGCAATGCTTGGCAATGTTGCGCATTGCTTCGCGTTGTTTGGCATTGTTTCGCATTGCTTAGCATTGTCCTTGGCATTGTTTTTGGTTGCGCTTGGCCTTGCTAGGCATTGCAGTGGCTTCCCAAAGTTTCGCAACGCCACAAAGGAACGCAAAACCGCCACACAAAGCAGCGCAAAGCCACGAGAACAATGCAAAACAATGCAGAGCAACGCAAATCAGGAGGGAGGAGGGAGGAATGAGTGCAAATTAGCAACTCAATTCTAAGCACGGCGTAGCAAAGCAAGACAACAGCAGAGCGATGCCAAGCAAGGCGTAGCAATGCAAAGCAATGCGGAACATTGCAATGCAATGCAAAGCACGGCCTAGCAATGCAACGCAAAGCAACGCAAAGCAACGCAGAGCAACGCACAGCAACGTAACGCACCGCAATGCAAAGCAATGCAATGCAAAGCAAGGCAAAGCAATGCACCTCAACGCAATGCAAAGCAATGCAACGCAAGGCAAAGCAAGACACAGCAACGCAAAGCAACGAAGCAACGCAAATCCATGCAATGCAAAGCAATGCATATCAATGCAAAGCAATGTCATGCAAAGCAACGCACAGCAACGCAAAGGAAGGCAAGGCAACGCAAATCAATGCAAAGCACTACAATGGAAAGCAAGGCAAAGCAGCGCAATGCACCGCAATGTGAAGCAACGCAATACAAAACAATGCGAAGCAAGAAAAAGAACTGCACCGCAATTCACACCAATGCATGACAACGCAGGGCAATGCAACACAATGCGAAGCAACGCAAAGCAATCTGTATGGTGCAATCTCACGGCGGCGACGAGCGGCGACGGCGGCGACGGCGAGAACAAAGCCGCCAGACCGACAGACAGGACCAGCTATGGGCGGCGGCGAGGCGGCGACGGGGCGGCGATGGCAGCAACGTAGCCGCCAGACAGACAGATATGCCGCGTTCTTTAGAACAGAAGTAAGATACCATAAGTGCAAGCACTAGTTTTGGGAACCAAAGGCCCCTAAGATGACCTTAGTACGGGCCCACAGGGCCCCAAGGAAGCCATCGGATGATGACGATGGTGATGAAAATGCTGACTGTGAGGTTGATGGTCGTCATCGTCGCGGTGGTGAGGATGAGTACGATTCTTACTGTGATGATGGTGACATGATGGTGATGTTGGTGATGATGCCAGTGATAATGATGGTGATGGTGATGATGATGATGATGATGATGATGATGATGATGATGGTGATAATGAGATGCGGATGTTGGGGATACTGGCGGTGATGACGATGACGATGATGATGATGCTGATGATGGTGATGGTGATGATGAGGATGTTGACGGTGATGATGATGCTGATGATGATGATTGTGATGGTGACGGTGATGGTGATGATGGTGATGACGAGTATGATGATGATGATGTTGATTATGATGATGATGAGGATGATGACTATGATGACGATGCTGATGATGATGCTGATGATGCTGTTGATGATGATGATGATGACGATGATGATGATGATGATGATGATGATGATGATGATCATGATGATGATGATGATGATGATGATGATGATGATGATGATGATGATGATGATGATGATGATGATTCGGATCCTGGTTATGATTATGATGATGGTGATGGGTCGAATTAGTGTCGTGATGATGCGGTGGAGGTGGAAGAAGGTGATGATGAAGAGGAGGGGAAGGAGGATGAGAAGGAAGCGAGGGTGAAGGAAATGGAGGAGGAGGAGGAGGAGGAGGAGGCGGAGCAGCAGAGTCGCCCAAGGGGTCTAAGGTAAACGAGCTGCCCTCGTTTGCCCCCGTTTCTGCCCTGTCCCCCCGCTCTCCTCCCCGACCTCGTCTTTGCGCCCGCCTGGCCTCCCCAGGCTCCGGCACGCACCGCTCCCCGTGTCCGCCAGAGCCTCCTCGCTTGGCGTGGCTCGAGGGGCACGCGGCTTGCGCACGTTTGGGACCGGTGCCGAGCTACCTTTGTCGAAGAAGAAAAAAACGGTACAAACATAAACTTAAGTCGGGCGTGTCCCTCTGCAGGAGGAATATCCCCAAATAGTCTCACAATAGTCCGGGGACGATATTTGTAGTATTTTTGACCAGTTTGGAGCAGTTCTGGAGTAGTTGCAATTTTCCGTCGAAAATCGGCCTGTAGTGGGACATGCCCGACCTGAACATAAACTTTTGGCGCTCCGCGCGGACTTCTTGGGTCCGCGCTGGGCCCCCCCGGCGGCGCCTTCGGCGCTGCCCCTGACGCGCTTTGCGCGCTGGGGAGGGGGGCCCAGCGCGGACCCAAGAAGTCCGCGCGGAGCGCCAAAAGTTTATGTTCGTGGCGTTGTTTTCTTCTCCTACATTGTTATTCTGCATGCGATCTGCAGCCGCCTCGGGCCTTCCCCGGGCAATGACACAGCCACGACCGGGCACGCGGCTGGCATGAGGTTGCGCTTGCTGCATGGCATTCTCCCCGAATTTCTTTCTTCTCGGACCTGCCTCTTTTTGGGAGGCAGGCCAATCCATGATCCATGGCCCCCTCCTCCAGCGTCTCCTCTTCCTCTCGTCTTCCTCATTCTGGCTTTCTCTCTTCGCTCTGATCCTTCCCGATTCAGCTCTGGGACCAAGCGGGAGGCAAATGACACTTCCTTTCTGTTTCTTCCCTCCTCCTTTCCCTCCTCCCCTTTTCCTCCTCACTCTCCTCGTCTTCCTCTCCCGCTTTTTCTTCACCCCTGCTTCCTCCCGCTTCTTCTCCTGACTACTCCTCTTCTTCCTCTCCTCCTGCCTCCTCCTCGCCCTCCTCTTCCCCATCTTCGTCCTTCCCCTCCTCTCCCTCCTCCCTCCGTCCCCCTCGTCCGCCGTGCCCGTCGCCCCTCGTTCCTCCCCCGTGCTCACTTTCCTCCCATCCATCCCCTACCAAGCCTTAAGTCGGGCCTGTCCCTCTTCAGGAGGAATGTGCAACAACAGTTAAAAAATACTCTAGGGACGATTTTTGCTACCATTTTTAAATATTTTAGGGTATTTTTTGATTTTCATGTTTCATCCAAAATCACCCTGTAGGGGGACAGGCCCGACCTAAGCCAAGCCCGCTCACCCCCCTTGTTCTGCGCCCCCTTCCCTGCTCCAGGCTGGTGGAGGGCGCGGGGGCGGCACGCCAGCAGCGGTGGGAAATTGATGGTCGCACAGCTGTATGCCCAGACCCCCTCGGGTAGCGAACAAATCATGAGGGTAGGTCGGTTTTTTGCTATATTTTCGCCCTCAGGGGGCCCTGACTGGCCCTCGAGACCGTCAAACAACGACTCACGACGAAAAACCGGTCCAGGGGAATGGGTCGAGAGGCGACGGAACGTCGGCTGAAGCCGGCGGAAGTAAAGCGAGGGCGCCTTTGCCGGCGGAGGCCAGTGGAAGGCTGGCGGAAGTTGGGGGGAGGACAGTGCGCCTTCCCGAGCGATGCTTTTTTGAGGGGCTCAGGTTTAGTTATGCACCATCCTCCACAAACTAAGCACCGCCCCTAATTCTGCCTAGAATAGCGGTCGCGCTGGTTCTGAAGCCCACGGCTCCTGGTTATGCGTACACGGTGTATGGTCCGGGATGCTGTTTGAGATCCAAGACAGATAGAACTCGAGTGTGTGCGACTCGCTTGCCATGGCCCCAGTCTGTGCATGTCTGCGTCTGCTCGCTGTTGCCTCCCATTGGGGCGCAGAAGCTGAGTGTTCCCTTCTTTTCCTCGTCGTCGTCGCCCTTCTCGTCCACCTCCTCATTCAGCATACACGTAAATCAGCGGCATGCTGTTCATCCCGTAGGAGTCGCCTTTTTATGGTTGAGCTCCCTTCTTCCCATTAGTTGGGTTGCTGGCGCTGTTCACTCTGGCGGGGCGCACATGCCGTTGCGACTCTGAAGTCATGCACGTCTCCCCCGTCCAAACAAATTGGACTGTGCGCGCTTCCGGTCTGCATGCGCACAGCTGTTGCAGGAGGCATGTCCACAGTCTTATTGTGCTCTTTGTGATTTGACCTTGCTTCTTGCCGTCCAAGCTTGGCCTCTGCCGAGGGAGTCGTCCTTATCCAGGTGTCGTCGCAAGGGCGCGGATATGATCGCGGGTCGCGCGTCGGGCGTTGCGCGAAGCGCGCAGCCAGGTGATCCGGGAACACCACTCGGGGGAAGTTTACTTCATCTTCTCCCACCCGCTGCGGCGACTTGAGGCATATGGCCAAGACGCTGACAGAAGGACAACTCCAGGCTCAGAAAGGGGCTCTGAGTTTCCCGCCGTGTCGTAGATCTAGGCAGGGGAGCCTATTCGTGGCCGGGCTCGCTGTGACCAGAAACAGCCCCTTTGGTTCCTGACTCAGCGCTCCTCATGGTAGAGGGATGCCTGCACTCTCCAAGTTTCTGAGCCAGCGAAGACGCCCAGGGCCCAGGGCGACTCACCACCGTCCCCTGCCGTCTGGAAGCGCCCTTATTGGTGGAATGCTGCGCAGAGTTTTGGCCGTGCCAGTGGGCTACCAGTTCCCCCAGCGCTCGTGGAGACCATAGTGGGGCTCCCACGGTGGGGGGGCACTGGGGAGGCCCCTCTGAGACCACAATGGGGCTCCCATGGGGTTCTTTCCGTTCCAGGTGGGCCTGCTGTGGGGCCTCTAGTCGGCGTCGCCACAGCATACTAATACTATATGTTCGTCGCCCCCCCAGGGGCGACGCGCGAAACGAGAAACCTTATCGTATATGCGTCGTGGCGGGCGCTTTCTGGCCACGCCGCTCGGGAAACGATGCAATACACGATGGGTTTACTACATGTTCGGGTCGGACGCGCGCCTCCAAGGAGGACATATAGTACCAGTATGTCTTTGGGCGTCCCATATAGGGGCTCTCTTGGGTCTCCTGGGGGCTCTCTTGGGCCGTCTCTTAGGGTGCTCTCGGGACGCCTGGCGCCTTCGGAGACCGTCTTGGGGGTCCTGTGAGGACGGTCTTTGCGGACCTCTTGAGGCTTGTTGGGGCCGTCCTGGGGCTCTTGCATAGGGTTATCCTGGGCCGTCTTCGCGGGCAACATTTAAATCCATATCCAGTGCGTCTTGGACTTTCTTGGAAGGTGCACCGCGAGGCCGAGGCGCAATGGATATGGACAAACGTCGAGCCTCTTTACGGGCTAGATTCTTATCCATATCCAGTGCGCCTCGGGGTTCGTGGGAAGGGAGCCCGAAACTCAACGCTGCAGTGGATACGGACACCAGTCTTGCCCGCAGTCTTGGAGTTGTCTGGAGGCCATCTTGAGGCTCTCTGGGCCGCCCTGGGAGGTCTCGGGGGCCTCTTTGGGCCGTCTTGGAGCGTGCCGCCTGCGTGCTCTGTGTGCGAGTCCTGCCGCGTGTGTTTCCAGTGTCTTCACGCGTCAGAGCAGATTCCACACCTGGCTCTTCGGCGTCGACGTTCGCCTTGCCGCCGCCGTTGCCGCCGCCGGCTGGCAAGGACAACACGGAAGCTCAGCTGTCTTTCTGCTTGTCGGGGGGCGGGCCCAGGGCCGACCCGAGACCTCCGCGCCGACCTCCGACGGCAGATTTTCCGCACCCGACATGTTGGGGTTGTGAGGTTTGACAAAGGAGGAGGAGGAGGAGGAGGAGGAGGAGGAGGAGGAGGAGGAAGAAGATGAAGAAGAAGAAGATGAGGAGGAGGAGGAGGAGGAGGAGAGGAGGAGGAGCAGGGAGGAGGGAGGAGGGAGGAGGGGTGGAGGGAGGAGGGGAGGAGGGAGGAGGGGTGGAGGGAGGAGGGAGGAACGAGGAGGAGGAGGAGGAGGCGGAGGAGGAGGAGGAGCGAGGAGGAGGAGGAGGAGGAGGAGGAGGGCGTCGGGCCCGCCTCGCGCAGCCTGCATGCCGCGGCCGCCAGGCCCCGGTTCTCCTGGGCAATTATCCCGCCTCGGTGCCTCGACGGCTGGCGGCGTGCATGCCGCGGCCGACAGCCCCCCGCGGGGCTCCCCCGCCTCGCGTTCTCGCTCGAGCGGGAGGCGCTCGAAGCCAAACAAGCACGAAGGCAGCCGCCTGTCTGTTATTCTTTTGCAGCGAGGGCCGCCCGCGGCCAGAGCGCAGTCCCAGGCCCTGCTGGCCTCGGACCTGTGCCCGCCAGGGCGCACCGCGGGGCAAGAGGGAGGGCTCTTCCCCGAGGGGGCTGCGGCGGGCGCGGGACCGACCACAGCAAGGGGCTCTGGGGCGATGCCAGGTGATCCTCGTCCATACCCCTGCTCCACCTCGTCCGCTGTCATCGTTCCTCCACGTTACTTTCCCTCGCTTCTCCTCCTCGTCGTCGTCGTCGTCGTCGCCATCATCACCATCATCACCATCATCATCATCATCATCATCATCATCATCATCATCATCATCAGCATAAGCCGCTCTGGCCCGTTCCAGGAGGGACACGGCTTGGCGCTCTCGTCTGCCCCTTTCCAGACAGCGCCCGCCAAGGCCCGCCGCTGGTGCCGTGGGGCTGCGCCACCGCCGCACTCATGAGGAGTGCGATTGCGCTGCAGCTGCTGAGACGATTCCCGATATTGACCCACAACGTCGGCAGCTTGCAGCCCCTCCGCCTGCAGGAACTCTCCGTCGCCTACCGCAGCATCGCGATTGGCGGGCTCACGGGCACTGGTCGACGACGCCCAGTTGCATTCGCCCAAGGCGATTCCAGGCCTGCGCATATTCGTGAGAGCGCCGTCTACCACAACGTGATTCATTTCCCTTGGCAACCTGGAGCCTGCACGAACAAGAGTGCGGGATGCAGTATTCTCCTCGGCGAACGACTACGTGCTACCGATATATCGGCCATAGAGACCCCCACCCGCCATCATCGCAGGCCGTGGCGGTATGGTCGACATTACTAAGGGCCCTTTGCTCCTCCGTGTGGTTGTCGTTTATTTTGAGCCTCGGCCCCGCACAGCGCGGGCACGCCCAGGATGGCGCAAAGATGTCTGCTGCTTCGAGAACGGATCGACCAGCTTCTACGCGGATGTGCCTTTCGCAGAGTACCGATCATTCTCACTGACGCCAACACGGGCCTTGGCAATATAGGCAACAAGCAGTTCAACGACGAGTGCATTGGACCCTTCGACAATGGCCACGAGAACGAGAACGGCAAAGCCCTGCACGCTCTCATGCAACTGCACTCGCTAGGCGCACTCAACACCCACTACAAGGTGGGGGCCACCTACATCGGACATCATGGTGCTACTACCATCGACTACATGTTCGCCCCAGTATCACTGATCCCAGACGCCACCTGCCGACGTTGGATGGCTTCGGCAAGGCGGACACGCAAGAGCAAGTTCTTCTTCGATCACGTCCCGATTGTTGGCTACTTCCAGCTCCCTTGCCCTGGGCACGATAGCACCGCACGGTCGGGCTGGAGCTGGCCCATTATGTGCAGATGTCTTCAGGAAGGACGGGAAGGATTTCTCCAGGACCTTCAGGACAACTTAGAGAAGTACCAGGAGGAGTTTGCGGAAGTACGCACCGACCCCTCGCCCGACAGGTGCATGCACCTCCTCGTCGCCGTCACCAGACAGGTCGCTCTCAAGCATCTTTCGTCCAGCCAGGAGCGCCCCGACTGCTACAGGCAAGCGATGAGGAGGAGACTGGACCTGCTCGCGGGGCTAGGCGCCTCCAAGCGCTCGGCGTTTCGTCGCGACGCCCCTGGCGCTGCTGGCGAGGAGGTGAAGCATTTGACACAACACTTCTTCACAAGCACCCGCAGAGTACGACTACACCAGGACCACGACTTGGACCAGCCGATTCGAGAAGGATGGGCTGAGCGTCGACTCCGCTGACATGCACGCAGCCGCCCGGCGTCGTGTTCATAGGGGGATTTGAGTTCGTAGGAGAGATTTCCGTTCGTTACCTTCGTGCCAACCCTCAGCAGACGAGTGGATCGCTGCACTAAGCGTTCCAGGATGCGACGGAGGTTTCAACGCGAGCACGCCCGACGACGCCTACTTGGTCACCATGCTCGCCCCGCGGGCCACAAAGTACGGTGAACGAATACAACTACCTCCGCGACCTGACGGACCTGGCACCCACATCGGCGCCCGCGACCTCTTAGCGGGCGACGAAGACTTCAACGCCACCAGGCGCCATCTGAGGAGGATGAAACGCAGAGAGTTCGCACCGTGCTGGAGCCTGCCGACCGAGATTTTCCTGATTATCACCAACCCCTCCTTCCTCAGCAAGCCTGCCGCACAGACTGCGGGCCTCGGGCCATTTCAAGCATTTGACCCGATGGACTTCGAGAAGGCGATTGACCCGACCAAGAGGAAGCTACCACTGGATCATTGCACGAAGCCTGCCAAGATACCCATCGAGATTCATGCGTTTGCACGAGCATCGCAGAGGGCCCCTAGCCAAACCAACATGGGCCAGACATTTGCCCTCGACAAGAAGAAAGGATTACCTGGAGTACCTGGACTACGCCTATTACATACATTGTGTCCTTGGTGGCGGGGATTTTACAGGCGCATCGTCAATTCGGAGGGTGGCCCCTTCCGACCGCCCGAGTGGGCACGCGGAGAAGTTCGCATGCGACGACGTGAGGGTATGATGTGTCTATCACGGATCGTGGCTCACAGAATCAGAGCATGCATATGGACTGTTGTAGCTAAACCTCACGACCAAAGATCAGGCTTCCAGAGCGGTGAGCACGACGATCTGAACCACATCGCTGGCGACCGCGCGACCTACTACTACATGCAGGAAGGCGAACCTGACGAACGACACGACCGCATTCACACCAACATCGAGTCCTTTCACCAGCGCCGCTCTGAGGCCGTCATGCGCATCTCCACGCCGCAGCAGTGGCTTTATTTACGCGCAGGCAGTGGAGGACTCATGGGGGGCAGCAACGCGCCAGAGTTTTTTCCATGACTAACTATTGCGCCCGTATTGATGAGTATAACGAGCTTACCCGCAGCTCCTCATAGTTCACCTTGGCCCATTGCGACATGTTTGGCGACGCTGTGAACGTCGGAGTGGGCCTTTTCATTGACGACCTCATCAAGCTTCCGGCGTTTCCACCTGGGACATCCCCAGAGGAGATCCGCAACATCAGCTGCTTGGACGCCGAGTGCTTGGACGAGAGCGGAGAAGCACGGGAGTGCAAACATAATCGCACCAATGCAGAGATCGTTATGGCCGCCTCGCGTCGAGGCGTTTCACTGGCACTTGCCACCGACAACGCGATTGTCGGCACGGTTTTACCTCAGCTGAAGCATCTCGGCGGCATGTTCTCCGCCTCGGGTAGCAATGTTGCCGAGCGTCATGAACGATTACGTGCTATCAACCGAGCGTGGAATCAGCTGAGTGGGTTCTGGCACTCCAAGGCTGGATGGCGTCATCGCCGCCTTCTTTTCGGAGGTTGCGTCCATAGTGCGGCCGCGTCTGGCGGCGAGAGCTACATCTATACGAGTGCCGACGCCAAGGCCCTCGACGCCAGCCTGGTGGGCAAGTTGCGCTCCATGCTAGAAGGCCGCGCACATTCAGAACGACGCGGTGTGCATCGGTCATGGCCCACCTTGCATGTTTGGAGATATTGGCGATCGGCACCTGTTGCGCTTGAGCTTACGGTGCGCCGCCTGCGTCGGTGGCTCGACATGATGACGGACCTTGAGCAGCGCCTCCACTTCTTGACGGGATTCTTCGGCGCGCTTGCAGTGGAGGGCCATGCAAATTGCATTGTCCCCATCCCGACGGAGAGCGGAGAGATCAACACCGAGAGCAACATCCACCCATGGGCGAAGCAGCTTGCCCGCGACATCGACGCGCTCCTCACGCTGGGTCTGGCCACTGAACTACGACGCGAATGGCAACCTCGCGATATCCGGCGGCTCATGACAGATCCCGTGCTGTGCGACATGCACACTGCCGTGGGCCCCCGCACGCTACGAGCGAGATTCTTCACTCGACAATGGTCACCACACGGTGCCCACTTGGAGGAGTTTCTGCCTACGGAAACGGAGGTGACGGGCGTGGAAGGCCTACCCACCTACTTGTGCGAGATCACTTTGACAGACGGCACCGCCTGCGGCCGCACCTTCCCGTCTATCGCTGCGCCACGCGCGCATCAGACTCACAGCAAGGACCCATGCCACGCCATGAGGAGCGTGCTCGGCCTTCTGATCCTTGACAACAAGTGCTTGAGATGTGACACGGCATTTCGTACCAGAGATCATCGCTCACGTCATGTGCTGAGGAGCTGGACCACTCGCCGCTGCATTCGGTCCAACACTGCACAGGCGTGGCCGTGCCGCCCGCCCCCCCCCCCCCCCAAAAAAAAAAAAACAAAAAAAAAAACTAGAGTGCCCTATATGCCGCGTTGTGGTACCGCGTGATCCCGATTCAGATGCCCCTATGGACCCTCAGCCTGAAGCCTTCGATACCTCTGGAGCCCCCACGCGGCCTCCACCCTCGTCGAAACGCACACCTACTGCACGAGCGTCATCGGCACCATCTACTTCACGAGCACGGACGCGCAGCACATCGAGCACACGCGCACGACGAACGGCGCCATCATCACGTCAGTACATCGAGCAGCGATCGACACAGACCGAGTTCGAGACGACGAGGCCTCCATCTGCACGACCACTTCGGAGACTGCGAGCGAAAACTCGAGCACAGAGGGCGACCACGAATGCGAAATCAACGTCGTCACCGTTGACTTATGGCTCAGTGGACGCGCTTCGGCGCCATTTGCTTTCTCATGTACCCGTGCTAGTCCATACATCGAACAAACCCTGGATTGTGAAAGAGCTTCGACCTGTGCAGCGACGCCCAACCTTGAGCGCACATCGGCCACTACCTACAGCTTCGGAGTGTGGCACTCGTCGGGCTCGTGCCAGATCGCAGGTTTTTGCAACTACTACGACACGTGCCACCGATGAGGGCAGCGTGGCTCCCCCAGACATCCTCGCCAGCGCCTGGGAGTATTGGCAGCGGCGGCAAGCGCGGGCCTGCAGGACCAGCAGCTGCCCCACTAAGGACCAGCCGAGGGGTCAAGAGACGCAACCAGGGCGAGAAGAAGGACATGGGCCTTCAGGTTCAGGGCAAGGGATTGCGCGAGCTGCTCCTCCTGCAGTCCAAGCAGGTGCGGGAGAAGAACCCAGACTTGCCACCATTGGGGCCTACTCTGCTGTTCGGCGAGCTCTTGCACGCACTGGCGGGGACACCCGGGGTCGGAAGCGCCAACATGGCACATCTCAAGAAGATGGTGGGGGACTTCAACAGCTGCGAGAAGGCCGAGGAGCTCATCAGGGTGTGCAGGACCACCAGGACGGCGCAGGAGGACCAGTCCAAACTCAACCTGGGCATCCAGCCGATGGGCGAGACGCGCTACCCCGCGATCGACCCCGTGCGCCAGCTCGGCGCACGACATCTACGGGGAGCACCGCCTGGATACATGGGGGACGAGCATCAGGAATGGACTGAATGGTTGGAGAGTCATCTCCAACAGAGCTGAAGAGAGAGGCGCGTGTCATGTGCTTGCAGTGGGTGAGTTCCCCTCGTGCTTTGATCCGCCTAGTGCACGCGTCACTCATCTTGTGTGCGTAATCTTCTTGCCTGTCCTCACGTTGCGGTTGTGGATGGCTTCTGTTCAGATCTTTGGTCGGCGGCGGTGCGCCCCGCCGATCGCGCGCTGTGCGTGGCAGATTGAGCTGCCCCTGCACGTGCGCGTAGCGCACGGCGGCATATCACGCGGTTTCCGCGGGCAGAGGGCTCGACCTCCCCTTTCCGCTCTCACCCTCTCCTTGAGCCCCGACTCTGTTAAACATCATAATCAGCATCATCATTAGCATCATCATCACCATCACCCTCACCATCACCATCCAAGAGCCCCCTCTACACAGAGACTCGAGCTCAATACATTCAACAGCTCAAACTCAAGCATCACCTTTTGTTTGCAGGTGCCTTCGACACTTGAGGACGGATCCGAGAATGGGGTTTGAGTACCAGCAAATATCAACGATGATTCAACAGGCCAGCAAACATCTTAAGACTTCAGCACGCAAGTATTGGCGTGAGCTCACTGCCAGGCGAGCCGAGGGGCTTAACAACGCGGTCAAGGACAACAACAGCTACCTCGTGCAACGTCTCGCCCGTCTCATTGCTGGCAAGCGCAGAGGCCCTCGTCAGCGCAAATTTGCAGCCATCCCCTCATCGGCTGCATTTGCGCGGGGCTCGAGCATAAGGATGGCACTCCCGTCTCGTCGAGGTGGTCGCTCGGCTACGCCAGCTACCCTTGAAGAGATCGAGACTGCAGTTCGACATGGGCACAGATGTGTACGTGACAATGCAGATGCTTTTGAGTTGACAGCAGCAGATTGGAGCATGATGCCGAACGCGGTGTGTAAAATGAAATTATGGCGCAGCTATCCCTCTTGGAGCATTCCTGCCGAAGCACATCGGCTTTTATGTGCACCTAAGCCGGTAAACCCGAGGAGGCTTGCGCTGTCAGTAGGCATCGGTTTTCATCAGGATGAGTTTGGGCCCCCAATGGTGTTGCAAGGGATAATTCGTGCAATTCTCTTCATGGCCAGAAGGCATAATCGAGCACCCGCCATATGGCACGCAGCGCAGGCAGCCAGGTTGCCGAAGGGCAACCTGAAACTCGACGTTGGTGGGGGGGGGGGGGGGGGCGTATCATCATGATAATGCGCACTGTAGGGCGAACATTTCACGCAGCGCCGCTACGGCGCAAGAAAGCAGCTTGGATCCCGGATAACTGGATCCACGGAGGACTACGACGAAGACAACGTGAGTCAGCCATGGGAGTGCGGTGGTTTTCTTTTTTCCGTCTCCAAGCTGCTGGCATTTTTCCCATTGCGCTGTCACGATGCTACAACTGTTTTTTTACAGCCTGAAACACTCCGCCGTGTTCGAGATTCTTCCCACTCTCTATTCGAATGCTGACTTGCAGCTCGCAGAGAATATGGTCACGAAAGCCGTTTTCCTTTTCGAAAATGATTCGGGAAGCTTGTGCACGCGAAATCACGAGGGGGTCTTCCCAGGAGGTGTAGGGGCCCCGCTCGTATTTGCTCGCGCTTGCAGTCCACCCGTGATCGACAATATTGCCGACACATACGTGGGATATCTCTGGTGTCGCGCAGTCGAGGTGAACACCCCCTGGGACTCTGAGGACCTCCAACAAATAGCACTCACTAGGTTCGTAGACGAGACGATATTGCCAACAAAGTGTTTGAAAGCAATCTAGAAGGAGGCACTACGTTAGACAAGCTGGAGCTCGGGAGCCGTCGTGGAAAAAAACTACCCGGTCGACCCGGGCATGCGCGTTGTAGGAGCTTCACAGAACGCGGCGCAGGTGCGCGCATCATTAGCATACTCACACAGAAGAAGCATGCGAACATCGACGACGCGACCATGCACAACGTGCGATAC